TGATGTTATACCTTACATAGCTTCGGCTCATAACAATGCGCGAACAATTGAAATATAATGTTTTAACGTTTGTACTCTGCAGGCTTGTACTCAGGACAATATAAACCATTTTAAAGTTGATTTTAGAGACGACGAAACCAAAAGATTCAGACACGTTTTTTTCAGACACATAAGGAACAATGAAAAAGTGGTTATTACCTACCTAAAATAAAATAAAATAGTATAATAAATAATAAATAGTTCACTACGTAAAGGTCTTAATAGTTTGGTCCACGAAACGAATGAGATATTTCATTATTTTATGCATAAAAGTTTTAGTTGCCAAAAAATTAATACTTTTAATAAAAGATACTTTATGTAAAAATACATCAAAATAAAGTATAAAATATCTCATAAACTGTTGGTATTTCATATCTCTAATTTAATACTTTTATATAATAATAATAAATAATTAAAAATATCTACTAAATAATTAGCGAAATAATTAAAAATATCTACTAAAAAACATATTCTCTAATACACATTAATCTCTAATATACATTAGAAAAAAATCTATTGAAAAAAAATAGATGATCTTGAAAAATTGATTTTTTCAAAGTCATTAATTTTACTATTATTTGTCCTCTTTCAGATTATACAACTTTTGTTTGAACATATTTTTTATTCAACCTTACTTTGCAATGGTAAAAAAGGATTAAAATGAAACACCCTGTATAAATATTTTAAATAAACTTCTAAATATTTTTCGCATATGCTTACATAACATTAGCTTGTCACAAAAGTTATAAAAAAAAAATACACATTTAAAATAAAAACAATCAACTTTTTAATTTTTTCAGTTTATTTTTTTTGAAAAATAAACCTATATATGAAGAATATTATTCAACCCTATCATTAATTAATGTTTCACATAAAGTCACTATTCTATTTTTTTATTTTTATTCTTTTTTTAATTGCTCTTCGTAGATTGAATTAATAATAATCAGCTTCCACTCTTGATATTCAGATCTAGCATTTCTTTTGTTTATCTGATTTTGATTAAAAAACTGACACATTTATAGAGATATATTCCAGCTCTATATGTAAAGTTTAACTTTCAAATTATACATATACATACTGTACAATATAAATCCTGCAATGTAATAAATATTAATTATTTAACTTTTATAATTAAAATATTATTTAGATTAGATAGTAACAACAGTGTTTCAAGTCCAACGAATATGCGGCGCGCAGTTCGCGTGTGGCTGGATATTGGGAAAAAAAATTAATGCCCATCGACATCCGTGCAGTTAGCTAGACCTTTATTGTTACTATATTCAATCTCAAGAGCTTATTTAAATAATTATTTGAATTTACGCGGCCTAAAAAACGCGTTAAATTGTTCATACTTATCGGTTATTGCGATGAATGTTACATGCCTCGGTCAGCTAAAGGACGCCCGTCCGGCAAACTGGGAGATCTGGGTTCAACTCCTGGCTGGGAACATGAGGTGATATTTTTTCGCAATAATTTCTTTCGGAGGAAAGGGGATAGTATATAGATGCACGTTAGCATAAAAAAATATTAAATTATTAGTCAATTTAATTGTTACAAATGGATTCCAGCCTCATATAATAGCTGTGTTTCAAATCCGACGAATATGCGGCGCGCAGTTCGCGTATAGCTGGATATTGTAAAAAATATTGTAAAAAAAAAACTAAAAAATACCGACATCCGTGTTAGCTCTCATAGACCTTTATTGTACTATGATTACTTAAATAGAAATAATATTTCTGAAAAGCATTAATTTACTGGCTAAAACATAAATTAATACAATAAATTAAAATGGCTCAACAAAGTAACAAATCAATAAATTAAATAAGGGCTACGAGCCAGAGCTAGATATTTAATGCTTCAATACATCAAGTGATTAAAACAAAACAAATAAGTACGCAAACATTTCGACCTGTATTAGGTCATTTTCAATGTTAAAATTAATACAAGTAAATTAAAACGATAAAATATAAAAGTAGTGTTAAAATTCGTTAAATATCATCTAAAGCATATAATATTCAGGCGCAAATCTTCAAAACGCATCGTGAGGTAGACTGAACGTACGATATCCTCCCAGATTTGAACCGGCCGAGACAAAGGCGAATAATGTCATTGTTAAAGTCTGCAATTTATAATATTGTAGAAGCTGAATCCAGGAGTCCGTATTGTATTAAAAATTTTTAAGTTCATATCTAAAGACTTATAGACGCAAAACGGTACAAAAATGTTAATTCTATTCTTCGAATGATACAGACTCCTGGATTCAGCTTCTACAATGTTACAAATTGTGGACTTTAACAATAACATTATTCGCCTTTGTCTCCGGTTCAAATCTGGGAGGATCGTACGTTCAGTCTATCTCACGATGGGTTTTGAAGATTTGCGCCTGAATATTATCCTTTAGATGGTATTTAACGAATTTTAACCTTCAAATGGTACATGAGTTCGAATTCGCACCGCGAAAATTTTCGA